AGATCGGCTAACATAAACGGCTAACAGATAAACCGTAACTCGCGAACTCGCCGGGAAATATCCAGCTTGAGAAGCGAAGACACGATGGCAAATTTGAGATCGTACCTTCGGAGTGCAGATTTTATCCATGCGCGAACAAAGCGTACGCGCGTACGTCGGAAATGCGTTAGCATTAGCGTTTTCTAAGGTTAAAGGGCTGATCGACGTGAAACGTTGTTCGCGCCCGGCGTTGTATTCTTGTGTATTTTTTTCGGCGGAAGAGATAACTCCGGTTAGCGTGTATTCGACGGTACTTTTGCGGGCAGATCTGTCTCGCCCACGAGAAAATCGCGAGCGCGAGAGTGGTCGAGGAGAGTTCGCGCGGAGAGCGGACCGGCCGACGGAGTCCCCCGACGTGGGCAAGTCGCGGCGCAATGCGCGAATGCAATGTTGCAGACACGTGCAGCAACCTTTGATATTCACCGCTTGTGCGCGAGCAACCGGGCTCCACCTAGAGAGAAAGAGAGAGAGAGAGAGAGAGTGAGAGAGAGAGAGAGAGAGAGCCGTTTCTACGAGATACACGGCGCGTTTTCCGTCGGCGACTCTCCCCCTTCTCTCTCTCTCTCTCTCTCTCTCCTCTTTCTCTGCTTTTGCGAGATGCACGTCAACCGCGAGACGTAAAATATTTCAGACGGAGGCAAAAGCCTGCGGTGGGAAACCTCGATGGAACGCTCGCGGTATGCAAAGCGGGTACACACAGTGTGAGCGGAGAGAAGCAGCGCGCGCGTTGCGCGTTAGTTCTCGTGCGCGATGAATAATTATCGATCCGGCAATGGCTTCACGCGTGTTTGAGATCTATCCGTGTTGGCGACCTATCCGTCCTGTTAAATGGCGATAGTGTAGAATTACGGGTTAAGCGAGACACGGCGCGACGATAATTAACGTCGTAGAGCGAACGTCGGGAAAATTCATTAGGATCGGCCGAATGTTTTTTTCCGTCAATCGCGCGCGCGATTGAAGGAGAAAAGAAAAAGAGACGTGTGCCCACGATGAGACGATCGGACGGTGTCCGTTTGGTTAGCACGAGCGCCATTTGCGCGCGCGTGCGACGTTCTAATAATTAATTCGTTTAACTCAATCAGTGCCTTTGAGATTCGTCATTTGCGTCGTTCCATAGCACGCCTCCCCCCTCCCTCCTTCTCTTTCTTTCTCTCTCTCTCTCTCTCTCTCTTTCTCTCTATTAACTAAATTATTTAATTTCCACCAGAGGTAAATTAACCATCGGTTACGCATCTACGGAATTGATACGTCGCGCACAATTTTCTCGTCGCGTACGTACAACTTCATAGATCGACTCACTAAACTTTTCCTCTCTCGATTCGCACTTGATATCACACCGTATAAGAATCCTCTTATCGGTCTAAATCACGTTGCGCGTAACTTTGCGGGCAAGGCCGGCAGTTAGAGAAAATTAAAGGGTTGATTACCCTCTTCTTAACCTTCTGACAACAAGATGGGCTTTCAGAACGAGTCGGAGCATTTTTCAAAGTATTTTGCCGCAATTATTTCAACTCAATTAGCATAGACTTTATTGGATTTTTGTTCATCTTTAAGTAAACGGAGGAACAAGAATCACGTTATTATTTACCCCTTTTATTCGTTTTACGCATTAATTAGGTGAAAAATAAACGAAACGGGGATGAAATCCCAGCCCAGTCTCACCATTAGAGGGTTAACAATGAACAATTAGTAATTGGTTCGCAAATTCGATATCGACAGATAGCTTCGCGCGCATTCCTCGCGCGGAAAACAGACGGCCGCGACGATAGCGGTCTTGCTCCGTGCAAGACGCGCGAAGTTGCATTTCCCTCGGTGCGCGTCGCCTACGACGACAAAGTGCGGCGAGAATTAGGTCGCTTGATACGGTAGTCGTACCGGTAGTCAATAGAGGGAGATTCCGCGGGATTTATTGTGCAGCCGTACGCGATACACGCACCTACGCGCGATCGGGCACACCGAGAACAATTAAGCTAACAATGACTTTGAAGCGTCCGGGTCACTTCGGCTCTCTCCGCCGTTAAAGTGCCTCCTACTTTCGTATTTCGTGCTTCGCGAGTACTTTTTTACGGCCGATCCCGGCGATAACGCTATTCAATGAAATTCAACTTTTACTTTGTAGGAGCAATAAAAGCGGCCGATTCTGCATTCTTACCGAGCTGCTTTGGAAGATTCTAATTAAAAGATACCGGCACAGACCGGGGGGGGGGGGGGGCAGAAATGATACGGGACGTTCCGCTGAATAACATATATCGATACACTCAGCATATTTGTAGAGGTAATTCCCCGATTCGAGATACACGAAGAAGAATAATTTTGCTGTTGTAGCGAAACCGTTATCGTTGTTATTCGTCGCGACGGCGATATAAATTCAGTTGGCGTAACCGAATTAGCGAATTATTTGCAATTAGAGCGGGAACAGTTTTGTTGCCAGGATAGAAAATATTCTGCGCTAAGTGCATTTGTCCTTAGGACATCATTCGAACACGCCAATTTACCGTCGAAACATCGTTACGCGTGCACTCGGCTCGATACATAACCATGTATCTTGATTAACACTTTAGATAATAATGTGGAAAAAGTACTTATTTTATAATAAAATAAAAAAATATGGAATTTCTTTCTCACTCGCTTGGAACATTCGCTTGGAAACGTGGAATTTTTTTATAAGGTGAAAAAATGTTGAACACGGTCAAAGTGCGTGTAACAATATTGCGAAAAAGTTTCATTGAGAATCGCAAGATGTTTCGCACTCGAGAAGACTATTACATAATTCGTCGTGTTTTCCTCATTTCAACCTCTAAATTCGATCGATGCCGATTACAAAGTGTATCGAAAGCCCGGGCGATAAGTATCGCCTTACCAAATTGCTAATAAGCGACCGATTTCGTGATCTCTCTCTCTCTCTTTCTCTCTCGGCCGATCTGCCATCCGTACTTAACTTGTTTATTGTTAGCTAGACGACGGTGGTAGGGATCGATTGAGACGTCCGCTTCGGAGCACGCCAGCCCTAAGGGCCCCGGCTAATTGCTATAATTAATTGCGTGATTGCTATAGTTAGATCGATCCCGATTACCAGTTAGAAGAGTGTAGCTTCTGCCGCTGTAATGATACAGTCACAGTGAGATATATTGGCTTGACGACTGTTCCAGCTTGGCTCGCCGCGACCTATCGCACGCCGACCGCAGGAGTCGCGACATTCCCCTCGAACAATACGTGAATATGAAACGGGATCGTTAATTTAATTTTGTTATTTCATATATATATATATAATTATATTTTATATTTTTACAAAATCTAATTCTCATGATTGTAAAGGTTTGGTATTTTGTAATCATGTAATTATATGATTTATTATAATTGTGCGATCGTATAATTGCATAATTTTACGATCGGGTTTTTTTCTACAATTTCCCGATTTCATTTCATAATTCCGCAGAAACTTCACTTAAGATTGTATAATTTCGCGATACGCTTTCTCAAAATTACGATATCATTTTAGGGAAATACAATTTTATGACTTTCGCGGTAGGCTCGCTTAGGGTTGCTGTAATACCTTCGCGACTTGATTTCGCAATATCGCAATGGTGCAATAACGGCCAACTAGAAAAACGTTTAACGAGAGGTCAGAAACGAGACGTCTGAAAAAAAAAAAAGTGCGAGGCGCTTAACGATTCGTCGACGAGGAAAAAAAACCGGCGAACCCGCGGTGCGTTTTTACGACACGGTAGGGCTTTGACTCTTTATGTCGGATCGGGACATTAAACCGCCATCTCTTTAAAAGCGTCGTATTTCTTTCATCGACGGTTTGCGGTTCGTCTGAGTTACAAATGAAACTTGTAACTTTCACATTCGATCAATAATAACGGCGCGTTACAATTAACTCCGGTAGTCGAACGCTGCTTTGTCGATCGCGGAAGCGGATGGATAATATAAATATGAATATTAAATATAAAATACGAATCTTTACGGAATAATGCACACGGTGACCGACGTCGCTTCGACATTTCGCGCAGGAAGTCGCAGATTAAGAAAGATCGCCTCGCCATTTTTCTCTTTTTCTTTCCTCGAGAGGAGTCTGTTATCGAGCTGCGAAATACGATCCGTAGCAAAATCCCCGCGAAAAAATCGTCGAGCCACGTCGCACGTGTGATAATAACACGGTGTGCGGCGATACTTGCTTGTTTAATGATTGAGGGTTCGCGTTAACGCTCCGCGTGTGGAAATTACAACGTCGCGCGATAGCCGTCGCGAAAAGAAAAGGTGTGAAAAATCGCGGAATCGCGGCTATAGTTGATGATTAACCTCTCGGTGCTGTTTACATTTAATATCAACCTTCTCATGCCAATCTCATTGGCAGCTCTGCTGAAACTCTCTGACGAGCTTCGGGAAAAATTTGGAAGATTGAATGGGATTATCCTGTAGGTCTAACTAATTCAAAATATGCGGAAACTCTCTCGTTGCGCAATTCCACCGTAATGTGAACTCCCACCTGGCGCACCGGACGTTTCAATCTCGCTGCATGTTTATCACGTATGGTTAATTATCACGTAATTCTCCGCAACTATTTTTATTAATACGCTACCAGTTTAATTTGCAATTCAACGAAGCCGTTAATCCCGATAAAACTGTCCGCATGTGCAATTATTTATTTTATTTATTTCGCAGACGCGTAACCCCTGATTAGCAGATTCCACCTTTTGCCACACTTTCAACCTTTCTTTTATCTTCATTGCATCCGCGTGTCTCATGCATTTAAATATACGTGCTTATAGATATATTTATTCGAATAAAATTATACACGCACAGAACGGATCTCTTTCTCCCTCTCCGAAGGAGACTCCCTCCGATGCGGAAAGACTTGGGCGTCTCAGACGCGTCACCCACTCGCTCATCATCCCGTCCTTTCATCGATCAGACCGATAAATCTGAATAACGTCCTTCTTTTCTCGCTGCGTTTCCAGGCGATACGGCACCAAGTGCGGCGGTTGCCTCCAAGGGATAAACCCGCAGGATCTCGTGAGGAAGGCGAGGGACAAGGTTTTCCACCTGAATTGCTTCACCTGCCTGGTGTGTCGGAAGCAGATGAGCACCGGCGAGGAGCTCTACGTCCTGGACGACAACAAGTTCGTTTGCAAGCAGGACTACCTGTCGGGCAAGCCGCTGCCGGACACGCATCACGTGCACGGTCATCACGGTGAGTCGTCCGGGGTCAGCCCTGTTTTCAACTCCGCGGAATATTTCAGATAAAGGATTAACGACGGAGTCATTACCCGCGATCGCCGACGTTTTTTTTTAGAAGAGAGAACCGCCGAGAACTGTGGCTAGAGTTATTCTAATTTTAGTTAATGTTATGCGGAATTAACGAGCTACTTAGTTCTGTAGTTTTCGTTTTCAATACTATTAATTTAACGAGGTTAATTTTATATAACTTAAGACTCAAACGTGACGGTGTTGAGTTATCAACGGTGCATAACCTGTTTTTAAGGATATATCTCTTCGTTTAGTATCGTTCTTGCGGTATTTTTTAAAATCCTAAATTAATCTGGGAAAGTAAAAGTAGTTCACGAAGAAGGAGCACATTTCGCGGTGTCAAAACTCGTCGGTACGTGTGTAGACCGTCCTGTTCGCAGACAAATTTGCCGCGAAATTTGAATTTAAGCGACATCCGACAAATACGCGCGATCCCCGTGCCTCCGATTTCTGTCGTCAACTGCCGATCGATATGGAGATCGACCGGCGTTGTTTCGTCTCGTCGCCGGTGATCGTGACATTTTAAGAATATCCGGTTCTCGAACGCGTACAAAATAAACACGATGATCTAATAATATCGGTACCCTAAAATAAATCCAAAAAGATGTCTTCCTGGCCGAGACAGTATTTTTCGCAACATGATATTAGAGTTGAATAATGTTTACGAATTTATTCAACAATTGATAAAGAGGATTATCGGGGGTTTATAATTTATTACCGGGATATTACCGGAACTCGAAGATCGGTTCGTTCATGAAAGGTTGCGGTTTGTTTGACCGATAAATATTCGGTACGTTCGCGATACATGTATAGAAAATCTATATAGAAAATATGGTATATGCGTAAAGTGTTGTAGTAAAATTTGCCACAAAATTTTGTAACACCGGGCCATGGCGGAATTATAACTGAAATTACGATGTGTATTGTAATTTTTAATGATGTACTACATTGTGCATATCACAAAAGACACACAACATCACAGCACACATCGTAATTTCAACCATAATCCCGGTATGATTCGACATTACGAAATTTTGTGGTAATTTTTGCCACAATATTCCCTTCGTATACGATGTGTAATCTCATCCTCACACAAATAATATTAATATTGACAATATTAATATTAAAAATATGGCGCTAGGCCGTACATCCGTGCTTCGCTTCTCATTGCCTCTCTCTCAGACCTCCGTTCCGCGGATAAATCGATAAAATCGCGTTTTCGTCCGTGAGACAGTCCGACGTCAAAATCGAAAGCGGGCGTTTTTGGACGTCGCGATATTAAAAGGCAAAGTTTCCGACTTGAGCGGCTCGGCCTAAATACGTCTCGCCGGTGCCGCGAGAACCGCGATTTCGACGTGGCACGTGGCTGTCAGCGGCACGCGGCGATCGATCGCAGGAAAATTCGCGCGAAATCGCGGTTTAGCACACGCTCGCGGTGCGCAAACAACAAAGTCAACGCACAATCGCCTTCTATTATATCGATCGCGCGCTTGTCACTGGGACGCGCCGATGTCCGCGACGAGGAGGACGCGTATTACCGCGACAGCTCCTCTTCTCCCGCCGGCTCTCTTCCTCTCGGCCGATCTCGAGCGCGTTTTACGATCGCCTCCGTCGTTTCCGTTCCCGCCGCCGATAAATAATTTTATCCGCCGTTCTCCTAAAGCGAGAAAGAGAGGTCGCCATAAATTACCGGCGCGGCCGCCGCCGATCTCGGAGTCTCGAGGAGCCCGTCTCACCTTCGACGCTCACTTGAGTTATCGGGGAGAACCGGAGAGCCGCCGCGGTACTCACGATGTTTCGATTCGCCGTTGGACGCTGGAAGTACTCGGAGTGTTTTCTCAGTGAGAAGAAAGGGAAAAATGCCGGTCGTGGAAAAAGTAGAAATAAAGTAAATACATTCGATACTCGCAGTATCGATTATTCGTGGCGTATCTCCGATCAATGCGATGAATATCACTTCACATGCGATATCAGTGTTAAACGCAAGTACTTGACACACCCCGACAACGTTAAATCGGAGCGTTTTCCTACGGGGAAAAGCGCGCGGCGAGATCGAATTCTGGAGAGTGGCTTGGAATTTCGGGATTTATTTTTTTCGCTCGGCGGGGTCGGGGGTCGCACAGTTCAACGCGCACGACGCCACGGATTTCACGGAGTCAGGATCAACTCGAAAAAAAAAGAGAGAGAGAATCGACCGACCGGCGGGGAGAGGGAGGGTTTCCACGGGGGTTTCTACCCCGAGAGAGCGGCAAGCTGTGAAAATAGCGCGACGCGTATGCCACCGTGAACCACCGGCCGAAAAGGGGAGACAGAGAGAAAGAGATGGAGAGAGAGAGAGAGAGAGAGGGGGAGAGGGGGAGAGAAGGACCGTGGGCCGGCTCGGTTTCACGAGGGCCTCACTCGTATATAAGCCGTGAAACGAAAACCGAAAGGTCGTTAGGCAGGGGGCGAACCTTTTGTCGCTCCGTTGCCGACGCCGAAACCGCAAAACGCCCCGGCAACCCGTTTCTTCTCTCTTCTCTCCCGGCCGCCTTTTTCTCTCTCATCTCGGAGGCCGAGGAGGACGCGCGCGCGCGAGGTCTCCGACGTCGCCGCCGCCGCGTTGTTTCGCCGTGTACGAGAGTACGTGAGACAATGTCGTGGGACAGCCTCGCCGTGCCGCGCGAAAGACGAACGAAAGCGCCGCGGAGAGATGATTTACGTCTCGGCCGTGGCCGATTGGGCCGCCGACCCGGTCGTCGATGGTCGGTTTCGCGCGAGAAGCCCGTCGCCGTCACCGTCGACCAAGTGTCGTCGCCGAGGGCCCGGTGCGTGCATACCTGTGGAACCAGGAGCGGATCCGGTAAGCCGCGTGTCAAGTGTCATCGCGGAGGCGCCTTCGCGGAAGGATTTCATCCGTTTTTCGCCGGACGCCGGTCTTTCGGTCGAAAATTTCGCGGAAAGGGATTAGAGATCAAAGAGAAATCAAGGACGGGGGAGTGAATAGAGGGGTGAAGTGACGAATAAAATAATGAAAAGAGAAGAAGGTAGTTATGAATAAGAGAAATGTTTTAGAAAGAGAAAGAGATAGATTGGTGTTTTTATTGTTTCATTCTAGAACAAAATTCTTTAAGAGCGTTTTACGTTGGAAATCTTAATTAATACAATTTTGTGAAATTAATTACGAATTGAGTTTGTTTTCGTTGTAATAACACAGAGAGAGAGAGAGAGAGAAATCACAACCTATGTTAGAATTATAATTAACGTTTTGCCAAATTCCGCGCTGGGAACACGTTTCTTTGGCTTCTCTTTCCATCTTTTATCTCTCACTGAGCGTTTTTATTATTTTTTTATACCGTCCTTCATCGATCGGAAAACAATGGGTTGGAATGAAGATTTCGAGCGCCGCTCAAAATCTTCATCGCGTACGAGAACGAGTTTTGACGCGCAACTGGGGGCAGGATGTTGACGCGAGCCTTCAGGATGATTTCGGGTCGATGATTAAACGACACGACCGTCTTGATGCTCGACACTTTTTCAACATTAATCTCTGCCATCCGCTCGGCCATTTGTCGGTTGTCGAATCCGTGGCCATCGTTCTCTCGGCGCGAGCCGAGAGCACAGTAATTATGTTCGTAGAGACGATTAATATCCGGAGACACCTATCGCCATTTTTTCGGCGGTTCCCGCCGTAAAATATATTGCGCCCCGTTGAAAATATTCCGAGCACAACACCGTCATTAAACGTAGGAAGCGATAGTCGGCTTTTAAAAATAACGCTTGCCGTTTACTGTCACATATTTTATGTGGCTAAAAAACCAATTAAATTATTCGACCAGAATTGCATGCGATTGTTTAGCAAATTGTTTTTCACAAAAAAAAAATATCACCATGAGACTGGCAAAAAGTATATGACAATGGCGTTGACGCGCTGCAGATTTTTTTTTAATTAACAAAACCGAATGTAACTACCGAATGTAACTACCGCTAAATATATCTAAATTAAATAAATATAACTGTCGAAAATAGCAACGAACAAAGAATCGGTGGCTCGTTCGGCATTTCACGCAGGTTCTCTCGCCGTCGGCAACTCTGTTCTCACATGAAAATATAGTGAAACATTATTAAAAAAATTGCAAATCGACCTGCTTATGGCTAGATGATAAATTCATAAACTGTACAGAACATAACGTTTTTAATTAGCGACCTGTTGTTGCATGCTTTACATAAAATCGGATAGCCGATCTTCAAAGAAGAGAACAATTTCACGATTGTACCGGAGCGAACCGATGCGAAGAGCAGTCCCTCCAAGTAAAATTACGAGGATTGATTTTCATAGATTTCACTTACCGAAAAGGAACGAAACTACTATAATTTAATTAAAACATTTCTTTCAAGTAATCGAATCTGTATTTCTCGACTCGCTCGTGCGTGCAAGAGTGAACGATGTCGATTCGTGCGTAAAAACGATCGCCGTTGTTCTCGAGGTCGGCGGTTCGTTCGTCGATGTTATTAAAAGGCCGGATTCTCGCGTCGTTCACGAGCAGAACCGTCCAACCTGTCGGCAGGCGGCGACTCGTTGATGGGCTCAGGATCGGAAGACGAGGACGAGGACGGTAGTGCTCACCATCATCATCACGATCCGGCGGTCCGTGGCGCTCACCTAGGGCCCCACAACATAGGCCCGGGTGGTCCGGGCGACCAGACCGTCGGCCACGGTGGCGAACTACCTCTCGGGAGCGATCCCTGCAAGCAGGAGGACTCCGAGGATCAAGGTAAGTTCTGCTTTACTTGCCGAGGATGCAACAACGACTGTGATGAGGTAGCCGGAGAAATTCGTATCTCGCGACAGTTACCGCGTAATAATCAGTATCGCGCAGGCTATTATGATAACTGTTTAATTATCATAATCGAACATTTTGAACAAGTAAAATCTACCGAGACAGGTTTCGCCAGTGTTCTTTTTCTAAATTGCTTGGCATTGCTTATCTTGCGACTTGATAAATATTTTGAAGTTGTGCTCGATCAAAGCACGGGCAGTTTCACGCAATNCCCCCTCCCCCCCCCCCCCCAAAGGGCAGAACAAGAACGTCTTTATTAAGCGGCGCGCGTACGAGAGAGAGAGAGAGAGAGAGAAGATAGGAGATAAAGCTCTCCGAAAAATAGCGAAAGAACATAAAGGAAAATCAATATCGCGCAGCCAAGCGTAAACGCGCACGGTGCACGCGCGCATGAAATATCTCAAGCTATCATCTAGATTAGAGCGATTAGACATTCCGCGTGTAGATTGTGTACATCACACACGCGTACACGTACACACACGTGCAGACGGTAAGCAGCGTACCGCGAATAAACCGAGAACGCGCTCAGCCCCGGTGAATCGCCGCGCGCAGTCCTCGAAACTCGATCAAGAGCAATCGATTAATGACGCGATCGGGACAAACCCCGTGTCACCCGCCGGGGGTGGCGCAGTCGACCTCGCGTCACTCGCGCGCGCGACTACGAAGCTTCGTGGCGTCGCGAAGCCGGTGAATCGTCGACGAGGCCTGTCAGGAGCCATTATATCGGGCTCCTGCTCTTTTATCGCGCGCTCGACAATCAGCTCCCGACCATACTCCACCTTAGTCCCTCACCCTCACGCAGACCTCGTGCACCACGCAAGCGTCTCCCCTCCCGGAGAGGGTGAGGCGGACGGAGGGGGCGTCTTCGCGAGGGATGCCCCCCTCCCTCGTACGGTGTGACACTGTCCAAACATTTTCTTTGTCCCGGCGGTTAAGACCTACCCGGTGTATTATATATATATATATATATATATATATATATATATGTATGTACAGTGTATAGATTACCGTGGAGAGTCGGGGACTTATACGCGTCCGTGTGTGAGTGTATTGTGCGTGTAGTTGTGTGTGTATGTGCGCGCTCGCGCATACGTGCGTGTATGCTTGGTGATATTGTGTGCACGCGTGTGCATGGCTTTCAGCGTGCGCGGCAGCAGCCACGATAATCCGATGGGGGTTTCGCATCGCTTCCGGGGGATTGGCTTCGATTGTTGTTACCTCGATCCGGCCGATGAAGATACCGGGATACACGGGGTGTCCCAGACCTACCGCGCGGCCCCTTAGCCGCGATTATTCGCCTCACGGCTGAAAGTTCGCCGTGGAACCGTCGCAGTCGTTTCGATTTCCATTTCCGCGGATTTCTCGCCTATAATTTCGTATCCTTGCGTTTCTTCATCCGCTGTGATTTTACGTTTCTAGTGACGAATTTAAATAAGCGGTCGGACCCCGATTGAGAAGTAATGTTGAATATTCGCGGACTAATGGAAAATTCTGCAACGCAGCGCGTTGGTCGTCTCATCAAAGTTACATGCTGTTGCAGTGTCACGAGAAATTAGTCAAAGCGATATTTGCCAGAAATGTTGAATATTGAAATCTAGCCCGATCTTGAGATATTCACCGAGTTTTGTTCGCTTCTAATATCCGCTCCCTGAGGGCACTGCATGTAGCGCGCGCGTCTGAAAATACCCGTGATCTTCTCGGTCGGCGGCTCGTTCTTGAAATAATTTCGATGTTACGGGACGATTGAGTTTGCGACTCTTCGACGGGCGTGTTGCTTAGGAACTCCCGTAACGAAATGATGACTCGAGTCTTACGATGACAAGTTATTTCTGGGTTACCGGCGAGTCACGCGTCAGCGGATACGCACAGTTCGGGATTAAGAAACCGACTATCCCTTCGCTAGCTATCGACGACTATGTAACGGAACGTACGGTGTAATGCTGTGGAAATGTAACGTCAGCCTTCTTTTCCACGAGACGTTGACGTCTTCAGCGCTGGTCTCAGCAAATTGCGTATGAACGATTAGGAGCGCGCGTCTGCCGCGACAAGTGTACGAATGTTAAAGCCAAATCGGTTCAATTGATTTTCTCGCTCCATCTTCACGATCGAGACCGCGATTTGGAAAAGAACAGATCGTCGGACTATTTTACTTCTCGGTGCGATCAACTTTTCAGAGTGTCGCGAAACGCACAGTGCGATCCGAATCAGTCGTTTCGGAAGAGCCGTGTTTCTCTTCGTGTTAGCTCTTCGGAGCTGAAAATATTCGGAGCCGACTTACCCGCGTTTATCACGTTCAAAATTGACGGTGGATTCACACCGGTACGGGAAAATTTCACTTCTCGTTATCGACGATCGCATAATCGTCGTGTTTAAAATCGACAGTATCGATTTGCGTCTGCATTATGCACATATAAATTGCATTATCTCTGTATTGCATATATTTGACATCGCGTTTAAATTTGATCTCAACGATATTCGATTCCATTTGCACGATATACATCGAATTGTTCTCGCCTCGTCCGAGAAATCCGCTCTATCGTCCGCTTATCAGTCCCGCGCCCGCGAGATTCTCCATTGCGGGCGATACGGCCTTTTCGCAATGACTGATTCCCGCCGGCACTTGTCGGCCGTCGATTCGGTCTTATGAAATAGGCCGCGGACGGCGGTGGTGGTGGTACGATTGTGATGCGGCAGTTCGGCTTCGATCGGTTGAAGGTTCCCTGGACGGCGATCCCGAGACGAGGGACAGCCAGACGGAGAACAAGAGCCCGGACGGCGGCGCCGGCGGTGGCAGCGGCGACGGCGGTGCCGGCTCGAAGCGACGCGGTCCGCGGACGACCATAAAGGCGAAGCAACTGGAGATCCTCAAGTCGGCCTTCTCGTCTACTCCGAAGCCCACCAGGCACATCAGGGAGCAGTTGGCGAAGGAGACCGGCTTGCCCATGAGAGTCATACAGGTGGGACGGACTTTTTTTTTTTCCTTTTCTCCTCCTCTTTTGCGTCTCGCTCGTGGTTTTTACGTGGAGGACGCTCGATAATATATTCCACGTTCGAAAGAGAGAGATAGATAGATAGATAGATGGAGAGGAGATCACCGTGCATTTGCGACTCGCGATATTCCGCAGGAAAGAAAAAAAGATTAAAACAGAAGGAGTGGGAAACGATGACGCGACGGGGTGCGAGTAAACACGGCGTTAAAGTTTGAAATAATAGCAACACTTGGCTGAGAACGAGCTGATATCGGTATAATAGAGCAGCCGCGACGCGGTTGAAAATAGAGGGGAGAATGATAGAGAGAGAGAGAGAGAGAGAGAGAATGCCGTTGAATAATTCAGTCGATTAAATCGCGGCCGGTCTGCGTTTTCCAGGTCTGGTTCCAGAACAAGAGGAGCAAGGAGCGCAGGCTGAAGCAGTTGACGTCGATGGGCAGGAACCCCTTCTTCGGGGGCTCGCGCAAGATGCGTGGCTTTCCGCTGAACCTGAACCCGGGCGCGCTCGGCGGAGAGGACGGCCCGCCGCCCGGCTTTCCCTACTTCGGCGCGGACAAGTTCGAATTCGGTTACGGGGGCCCGGTGGCCTTCCACCACGAGTTCTTCGGCGCGCATCCGCCCCCGCACCCGCACGGGCCGCACTTCGCCGGCACGGGAAATCCAGGTAAGTCTTCCGATTGGAAGCCAGTTGTCGAAAAGAAAGAAAGAGAGAGAGAGAGAGAGAGATTATCGTTATCGTCGTCGTCGTGTCTATCGCGTATAATCTATATTAGATACCCCCTTAGCGGCGATCGAACGAAAGTTAATAATCACTGGAAACGTAGGAAGGCCGAACGTAGGTTGTTGCTGCGAATAAATTTGCACGGGAGGGTAAATATATTTGACAATGTAAACTTACGCGCCGACCAATTCGACCCGTGTCCCAATTGGTAATATTAATAAACTTCCAAATTCCCGGACTATTGATTAATCAATCGGCATTAATTGATTCCGTTATGTGTTGCGATACCGCCACTCGTGTAAATTTATTCGCACCAACGACCCGTTCGGGCTCTTACAGGCTTTCACAAGCCTCTCTGTGTTTCCAGTGATTGTACATCTCGCAAGAGTTTCATGCATTTAAGAAAGTTAATAAAGCCAGCCGATTAATTCCTCGCTCGGTACGATGTGATCAACGCGAAAATTCCTCAACAATGTGTGAGAGAGAAAGAGAGAGAGAGAGAGAGAGAGCAGTGTCGCGCGCGCGCGCGCCGGCCAACATCAGCTATTCCGAGACTGTTTTTTGTCTCTCCTCTCGGTCGTATCGATTTTTTTGTCTGGTGTCCCGTTGTTTCATTAGTTGCGCGGTTTTTCTCTTTCGACTTTTTGTTTGCTCTCTTTCTCTCTCTCTCTCTCTCTCTCTCTCTGTCTGTCTCTCTCGACAAACGCCAAATTCGCGAATTCGAGAGAGAGAGAGGCCGACTCGTGGCGCGCGATCGCAAAAACCGAGCGATCTACGCCGCGAAATCCGGCCCGGCTGAGTCTAGCGGCCGTGCCGGAATCTCGCGTAATTATAATAAACCTCGAATCAAGTAGGTAGGCCCCGCGATAATTATGACAGCCGGTTTCGGAGATGGCCGGGCGGATACGATCCCCTCTGAGAGCAGTACGTAATCTGTTTCTGACAGGCCTGGACCCGGCCAGTTTAGCGGGCATGGCAGCGGCAGTGGCGGTGGCAGGGGAATATCCACCTCCGGGCGCGGGGGGCGGCCCTCCGGAATTTCTCACGGGGCCCCCCGGGCAGGGGCCCCCTGCGCCCACCGGCGGCAGCCCCGGCGAGTTCCTAGCACCTTCAGGTAAGAGGGAAATATCCCCGCCATTACCAGCGAAAACCGAGCGAATCGCGACCGCCGAATCTACCTTCGGATTCTTCGCAACGTTCGCGCCCGATTAATCAGCGATTTATTTTCGCGACGCGGTCACCGCAACGGATTAATTCTGCGGGCGTCCGAGGGAGATCGACGGGCTCCTTCCTTGGGCGACTTGTTCCTTCGGATCACGCGCATCTCTCGGAGAATCGAAATATTTGTCACCCGCGTTTGTTCAATAATTATTACTAAATCGAATTTTTCTATCAATACGCTGTGTACGTCTCGTTACTTTCAACTTTGAGCGCGCGCGTATTAATAGCCAAGATATTGAGGTAATATGTGTGATATTTGCATCGCCACTGTCATGCGTTTCGCGCCGTGATTACTCCCGACGACTTATTATACGTGTCTCTCAGTTAGATTGAACATACTGTATCGCGTTAATTAGGGGCGCTTTAGGGGAACCGGCGGTATCGGAACCGTTTCACGCCATTCAACTGTTTCGCGTTTTGATACTTGAGAATTATACGGTCCCGTTAACCTTTCTCACTCGGCGGGAATTTTTCTCGCGAGCTTTATCATTCACACGATGATCGTTGCTTCGTGCATCGAAAGATACGTGGTGTCCAGCTGGATAGGATTCCCCGCAACAAAGTACGGCAGCGTGAATGTCATTTCCTTTGGAAGCGTGACGCACGGATAATTGAGATCTGACAATCACGGTGTGTTGCGACCTTTCGCGGGATACGTTCGAGCCTAAAAGCACATTTTCTCCAACTTTACGTCGGGTGCGCGTACGTGCCCTGTCTGAGGCTGTCGCTGGCGTATCACTCAAATCGAACGTATGTCGTCAATTTGTTTACGAAAGTACGTTCAACGACAGCCGTATTAGTAATGCCGCGATGTGTGAAGCAAGCGGAATGTTTAGCGCTCGATCTCCGCCGGCTTGAGGTTGAGAACTTTCCAACGTGAGGCACACGCAAACACGCATATCTGCGTCTCGAGAAAATAAGAAGTTTAAGAAAACGTGAAAAATCGCGAATGTTTTTTTAGCAAATAATAAACTTACAAAATAACTTTGATATCACCGCTGAAAATCCGGCACTCCGCGATACAACTATCATAAATAAGTTTTCGAATAAAAAAGGAAAACGTCGAAAGAACCGAAAGACGTTAATTGTCGAGATCGAGAATAAAACGCGAATTTCAGGCCTGATCGGGGCTGGTCTCATTGTTTCTCGCGAGACGGAGACGGCGCGAAATCACGCGGTATCGCGAGAAGTAGAAAAGAAAGGAGGAGGAGGATCTCGAATAGCCGATGTCGGCAGCCTCTGTTGAATTTGCCTCGGGAATCTAAAGATAACAAAACGAGAAGTGTAACGCAATTATCGGGGCCAGGGTATTAATATTTATAAAGCGCCGGGCGGCGGATTGTCTCGCCGGCGGTCTCGCGCCGTGCGGTTTCGTTCGGCACTTCCGGCCGCTGCTGCGTTACATCGTTGCGTCGCGTCCCGTCGCGTTACGTTGCGCCTTGTTGCGGGATTTAAATCTTAATTGGCATCGACGCCGTTTGCGTTCGTTTGTTCCCAGGTGGAGCCCAGGGTAATCCGAGCGGCGGCGGGAATGGCGGCGGGCCAGGCGGCGGCGGCGGCGGCGGTGGCGGCGGGGTCGCGGGCGGCGGGTTCCTGGAGCCGCACCAGATGCAGAGCGAAGGGCTGGCCTGGTAGTACGAGTTTTAATTAACGTCCCTTATAATAATAATTCCGCCCGCGCGCACCAACGGAATCGCGAGAGCGCCGCCGCGAGGAGAACGAAGAGCGCGAGGAGGGCGGCGATTTCAAGTCCGAGGGCGACGGAAGGCTCGGCGCTTCGTTGCTTTCCTTCCCGTTGTTTCCCCTGGTTTCCTCTCTCTCTCTCTCTTTCCCCTACTCTCTCTCTCCTTATATCTCTCAATCATTTGCAACCTCCTTCGTTTCGCGTCGACCCGCACTTCGGTCGTCGAGTTGCGGATGTCGCGCGAACTCACGACGACGACGACGTTCGGTCCCTTCTGTAAGATACGGATGCCGCGCACGCGAAGCGCGTCTGTCCTCGTCCCTTGATTCACGGTTATCGTTGTCGAACGTTGCCGACGTTATTATCTTCATTGTATCGGCATCGCGACGCCGATATGTTACTCTATTTTTCATTATTATTAATATTATTATTATTATTATTAATTATTATATATTAATTATTATTATTATTGTGTATAAAATTCGAAGCCCCCTCCCTCCCCTATCGTGTAATATTATGCCCTCCCTGTTGATTATTTTTCGACGTTACTTTGGAGACACCCTGTAGATATCTGCTGTTGTACACCTGATAAAAATACACGTACACGCGTCGTTAAACACATACGTATACATACACACATAGACCCAGGCGCATGCAAGATGTGACACACACAGCGCAGATATATACACGTACACATATCTATACACCGGAACGGACGCGGTCCACACTTCGACACGCTGTACTAATATTATCATTAAAGTATAAATATAAATAGGAACGTGTAATTTGTATCTGTTAAGGCGGCGAGATCGATGTAAATACACACGGAGAAACACACGGACACACTCTATCCTCTCTATCTCTCTCTCTCTCTCTTTGCTGAATGCGCGCGAGCCGATTTGCGAACGGCCGGACTTACTCTTTAAACGCCATCGGAAGTAATATATGTGTATCGTGACGCAACACACACACACACTCACACGCATACACGTGACACACACGTACACACATTCGCACACCGAGTAAGGCAGACCGAGAAAGAGACGCGCCGCCGCGACGCATAACGATTATAAATATTATTATAATAAACCACCTCGTATTTCCGTACACGGAGCTGTGCATTTCATTCCCTTCTCTACGCACGGCCACCGCCGTGCGGCGTTTTTCTCGCGCAGTGTTAATCTTCAACGCGAGAGCGATGTTGCGTAGAGAGACGGAAGAGAAGAGTGTCTCCAAATCGGCCGCGTCGTAATCAACAACGGATTGTGACGCGCTTGTTTGACATCGCGTTTACAATTCAGGACTCTGGCAAACGGGATGAGGATAACAGATATAAAATTTGTAGGAATTTCGCCGAACAGTTTCTTTCCTCGCAATTCTGACGTTTTCGCGTCGGTGCGGCGAAGTTTCGCTCGAATCGCGGGAAAGTCTGAGTACGTAACGACGATCGGATGTGTGAGATAAGAGAGCGGACACTGCGAGAGAGAAAAAAAGGTCTACAGTGACACGAGGCAGTTAACGAGGTAAGTGACTGTTTACGTTTTTACCAAGGTGCGCACGCGTCAGCGTCTTCGATTTCCGCCGCTTATTACAGCCGACAGACGTCGTTCAATGTGTCAACCGGTGGGATTTCAGTGGCGTTATCCTAACGAGCGGCGACACGACGCTTGACCGCGCGATTCGACACGCGGCGATATATCGGGGATATATCGGCGAGAAAGTCGGCGGTAGGCCGAGCTAAGCTACGTTAGATCGTACTTCGAGCGGCGCGAAGAAGTTATTAGTTGTCACCGGGAGATAATCGAAGATGTTGGAGACGGTGACAACTCGAAATCGATATTTCACGCGCTTCGGCAGATCGTCGAGAGGAACTGCGTGAGAGGCAGCGCGAAAATCCTGTTTTAAACGCGCGTCGAAAACAAAATCAATTTTCTGCAGTCCGAGATATGCTGTTTGTAAATTATGTCAGGTCTCTGCCTGGTATTTGCATACGCTTTGGGTAGCTTTCGTACGCAGTTGTCGCATTTATACGCCGCCAATCAAGTGCGCCGCGCGTACGTTCGTTACACGCGTTACACGCAGCACGTTAAACGCGCAGATATACATGTGTGGTATGTATGTGTGTATGTAGACGTCGGCCGGTTAACAGCGGGCGCTTTTTTCGCGCGTCAAAAAGCGCGTTGGACTTATTCAAAAGGCAATCCGGCTAAATACCGGAATGACGTGCGCGAAAAAATTCAAAGCGAAAAGCAGGTATACTTGTGCTGCGCGTGCGATGACGTAACAGAATTACAACAACGATGCCCAACATCCCGCTACAAATCCGTCGTTGAAATTTCGCTGAAATTTCGTTAAATATGGCACCCGCGCGCGCCCACACAAACTTCACATTTTAAAATAACTTCTATACGCCGTCATTACTAAAAACGCGTAATATCGCTTGAAAAATATCAAGACAAGAGTGATACGGAATTCATAGTCGAGCTCAAATATTACTCGGTGAAATTTAAATTTAATTTTCTCTCATTTATATTATTAATTCAGATATATTTGAGGGCACACATATATACATTTCTTTAGGTGACACTCGGAATGTTTTGAGTGAATGGCCGTTGTGACCGTCCTTGTTTAATAACGCCCACAAAATGACATTTGTGATTGATTCAGCGCAATTGTAAACTTGGACGAACACTTTTACCCGAACGATCAATAAATAGTCGCAAAATTAATTCGACATAGGACCTTCTTTTCTCATAATTTGCCAATGTAAATTTCACAATTATTGTTTGTCCGAGTTAAAATGTTCGTCCAATTTTACAAATTTGCCGAATCGATCGCACATATCATTTTTGTAGATATATCTTTTTGTTTGCATAACGCAAAAAATTTTAGCACGCGTTTTCTCGCTTACGACGTCATTACACAAGAACAGTCGTAGCGAACACTCTACTCCAGAGCCTTAAGAGAATGGATACATTATCCGTAACAAGTTTCACGACATTTCCCAATCTATCCGTACTTTTTTTAACCGAGCGTTTATTCCCCTGTCATACGTTTAACAGACGTATGTTTTGTCAATCATCGAAACAACTTAGTCATTGATTGACTGGTTATTTACGTCAATAATGACGTCTATAACCATACGTCCGTGTCGAAGCCACCACCATCGGCAAATGCACGACTTACTTTCCGTTCGATCCTTCCATCAATGCTATTTTCCACGAGGAAAAGGTCCTCGCCTCGAGAAGGGCGGGGACGAGCTCAGGTGCCGAATCCTTTTCTTTCCCCAAATCGTCGTCGGTCGTAAACGCATCTGCGACCGGCGTCGCCCTGACGTCGTTAGCGACGTCGCCGGGGAAAGAAAAGAGGAGGGTGCTCGCATCGGCCTGGACATCTGGTGAATTCGATTTTGATGTGTTTCTGCGCCCCCCACGGGGCGCGGAACGTCCTCGGCCCCGTTGGGGCCGTCAACGATGCCGCGTACGAGTCCCCATGTGTTTCGTGTACACTATGTATACACAAGCGGCTCCTTCCCCCGGCGCTTGCAAGTGCATCCGTTAAGTGTGTACACAGAGCCAGTGGCCCGGTCCAGTCTCGCAGTTTGTGGACGCGCACGTGGTCGTTAACGCGGCCGCTCGCGGGAACTTTGTTGCGGATCTGAGACGAGAGATTGTTTCGCTCGGTTTAACTAATCGGCCGAAAAAAATTTAGATTTGACGTGCGCGAACGAAACGTTTCGCCCCTTTCGCTCGTTTCATGAAACGTTATTTCAGAAAATGTTAATTAATAACCGAGCTTTTTGTAATTTGCCTTTGAGTATTTTGGGCGAAACGGTTCTATTGTAATGAAGGACTGGCGACGGTATTTCATAGTACGCGAGAAATGAAGTTATTCAATTTCGTATAAATTCTTTCTATATGTACGATACGTCTGCAAAGGGAAAGCCTTTTGGGGTAATTGGGTGCAATACAGTCCCACTTGTTAAATTTCTCGAGGTGAAATCTCACGTTCGAAATAAGAGGATTCACTCGAAGAGTGATGGTGAAAATACTGTCACTCGGAGTCATAAATGCTCGACTCATAGATTAGATTTTGGATTCCACAGAAATAAGCTCGAGTCGAAATTTTGGTAACCCTATAAATCCCGTCGCAATAGCTCCACCGTTATACATTGTATTCACTCGAGCGACTCGGCTGTCGCTCTATTTGAATAGAACCTCACTCGAGAAAGCACTTTCGAAGATACCAATACAGAAAGTACCGTCACATTCGGACTGTTTCTCTTTGATACGCAATATAGGGGCGAGCTGTCAAAATCGTACCACCAATCCTTAAAAAACTTACACATTTGAAGTGCTTGAACCTCGTTAAAAGGGCGCCTCGCTCGCCCTGGAGAATTCCGCGCGAGCCCTTCTTCGCCGCCGGACCGTCCATGTGTCGGCGAGAGTTCGACGTGTAATTTAGCCGGATAGTTACCGCGCGCACATGCGATGTAACGCGCTCCGATGTAACGACATCGGAGAAGGCGTCGGTCTTCCGTGTAATGTGCGCGCAGTCCTGGCAGAGTCTCCTGCGGGAGATTCGACAGATGCGCGGCCCGCCTCCGCGCCCCAGGAACTACCACGGGCTCCCGTGGGAGTACCGCAGGGACAAACCGTCCCGGGGGGTCGTTTCCGCGCGTCCTCCCCCTCGTATCTTCGCTTTCGTTACCCTCGTTTACGCGGAGTAAGAAAACGGGAGCGCGCGGACGACATTTTTGCGCACCGAACCGCCGAATCGACGGAATCGGATAAAAATCCGATTTAGATCCCGTCAAATCCCGCCGTCAATCCCACCGCGATTACGGGGATTAATTAACCGGGCTGCGGAGAAGCCGATGGACGTTGTGTAACGCAATTATAGGTATAAAATTCCGCGCGAGGTTTTGATATTTTCACATTGGGAAGAGATAAAGTATTTTTAATTAACTGAAGAAGAAGACCCTTTAATTGAACCCATAAGAATCTGAGCACGGGTGTCGCCGGTGCGTTTTTAATATTGAGTTAATATCGATATTATTCTATCCCGGAGTAACAATTATTTTTAGACGTTCCCAGTCAACCTGTCCCCGTAAAGTGACTTATATTCGATTCTTAACTAACCAGACCCAATTAAAACATCCTCTCTGGTTAATTCCAAATGGAGTTCTTATATCTTAAATTATAAAAAGGAAGATTTGAGATACGAGTATTGAAAAATTCGGAGATATTTGGGAATTAGAAAGAGACAGAAAGAGATTGAATCACTGCGTTTCTCGGCTCTCCACGATTTTCGGCCGTTTTGCGACGTCCATCGCGACGCGTTATCCACGACATCGATTATACCGGCTATACATTCGTCGATGCTTATCTACCCGTCGGAGTAGACGTTTGCTGCTGAGGAGATATGTGGAGCAGGACGATGAAGCGGGGTTCCCAAGGGGTGGTCCCAGGGCCAAGGGCCGCGACGTGTTACAGTCCAACGCGCTCCGGTGACCGACTCGCTCACGTGTCCGCGCACGTGTCGCGCAAAACAAGCCCCCGCGCAAACCCCCTCGACGACGGCCGTCGTTCGTCTGCTATCATTATGCAAGGAGGCCTTACAAATCACGCCCTGCTTACCGCGCTCGTGCGCGTTTCAGCCTGTCGCAGGATCGAATTAACGTGGCAGAGCTTCGAATTAACCCTTGGGACGTCCCCCTCCGGCCGTCCCTCTCTCCGAAAACACCGGCCGCGAATTCGGAGCGTCGCCCGCAGCTCTTCAAGTTCCTCTCCCCCGAGGATCGCGCGCGCGCTTTGAGGAAGCCGTGTCGCGTCGACGCGGACCGATCGATTCGTTTGTTTCTCAAGCGGTTGGGGGATTCATTTCGACATGTGAATTGTCGCGCCTCTTGCAATTAGATTTGTGAAATATTTTCGTTTCTCACACGCCAACTTCCCAGATAGCGCATGTTTGTTTACATACACGTTCGTTAAACCTACGTGACGTTTCATAACCGTATTACGGTTATCTGGGTTGTATCTGAAGTTATTTATTGAAACCATCTCCTCATTAGTCAATCGAGGG